ACAGGTTGTTCCGCGTGCTAAAGTTGTACTAGAAAGTCGCCAGTCAGTTCTCATCTTCCAGCTCCCCAGATGCTCCGCGTACTGCAGTTGTACTACACAGTCGCCAGTTCTCAGCTTCTAGCTGCACAGATTGCTCCGCGTACTAAAGTTGTACTACAAAGTCGCCAGTTCTCAGCTTCCAGCTCTACAGATTGCTCCGCGTACTAAAGTTGTACTTGAAAGTCGCCAGTTCTCAGCTTCCAGCTCTACAGATTGCTCCGCGTACTAAAGTTGTACTAGAAAGTCGCCAGTTCTCAGCTTCCAGCTCTACAGATTGCTCCGCGTACTAAAGTTGTACTACACAGTCGCCAGTTCTGAGCTTCTAGCTGCACAGATTGCTTCGCGTACTGAAGTTGTACTATAAAGTCGCCAGTTCTCATCGTCCAGCTTGCCAGATACTCCGCGTACTAAAGTTGTACTACAATGTCGCCAGTTCTCAGCTTCCAGCTCTACAGATTGCTCCGCGTACTAGAGTTGTAATAGAAAGTCGCCAGTTCTCAGCTTCCAGCTCTACAGATTGCTCCGCGTACTAAAGTTGTACTAGAAAGTCGCCAGTTCTCAGCTTCCAGCTCCACAGATACTCCGCGTACTAAAGTTGTACTACAAAGTCGCCAGTGCTCAGCTTCTAGCTGCACAGTGCTCAGCTTCTAGCTGCACAGATAGCTCCGCGTACTAAAGTTGTACTAAAAAGTCGGCAGTTCTCAGCTTCCAGCTCCACAGATACTCCGCGTACTAAAGTTGTACTACAAAGTCGCCAGTTCTCATCGTCCAGCTCGCCAGATACTCCGCGTACTAAAGTTGTACTACAAAGTCGCCAGTTCTCAGCTTCCAGCTCCCCAGATGCTGTGCCTGCCACGAAATCTGCACATGGAGGTTCACAAAGTGCTGTGCCTGCCACGAAATCTGCACATGGAGGTTCACAAAGTGCTGTGCCTGCGAAGTGCTGCACCTTCCACGACATCTGCACATGGAGGCGTGCAAAGTGCTGTGCCTGCCACGAAATCTGCACATGGAGGTACACAAAGTGCTGCACCTGCCACGAAATCTGCACATGGAGGTTCACAAAGCGCTGCACCTGCCACGAAATCTGCACTTCAAGAAACAAGTGAAAAATCTAATCCCAATGGACGGACGATTCCGAGCATGATCCGAGAATGATCCGAGACCGTCTCGCACCCGTCGTTCCGCAGACGTTGACTTGCCAGCTTCGGAGCCACCGGTTCCATTGAAAAATACAGCATTTCGTGCCTTCGCTATCTCTCCACAACGCATTTTGTATTGCGCCTGCCACGACATCTGCACATGGAGGTGCACAAAGTGCTGTGCCTGCCACGAAATCTGCACATGGAGGTTCACAAAGTGCTGCACCTGCCACGAAATCTGCACATGGAGGTACACAAAGTGCTGCACCTGCCACGAAATCTGCACATGGAGGTTCACAAAGTGCTGTGCCTGCCACGACATCTGCACATGGAGGTACACAAAGTGCTGCACCTGCCACGAAATCTGCACATGGAGGTTCACAAAGTGCTGCACCTGCCACGAAATCTTCACTTCAAGAAACAAGTGAAAACTCTAATCCCAATGGACGGACGATTCCGAGCATGATCCGAGAATGATCCGAGACCGTCTCGCACCCGTCGTTCCGCAGACCTTGACTTGCAAGCTTCGGAGCCACCGGTTCCATTGAAAAATACAGCATTTCGTGCGTTCGCTATCTCTCCACAACGCATTTTGTATTGCGCCTGCCACGACATCTGCACATGGAGGTGCACAAAGTGCTGTGCCTGCCACGACATCTGCACATGGAGGTTCACAAAGTGCTGCACCTGCCACGAAATCTGCACATGGAGGTTCACAAAGTGCTGCACCTGCCACGAGCTTGAGCTGGTGTATGAGCGGTGTATGATGAGTAGTGTATGATGGGTGGTGTGTGATCAGTCGTGTATGATGAGTGGTGTATGAGGAGTAGTGTATGATGAGTAGTGTATGATGAGTGGTGTATGATGAGTAGTGTATGGTGAGTGGTGTATGATGAGTGGTGTATGATGAGTGGTGTATGATGAGT